TATCTTTAAAAAAAATTATGGAAGTTGCCAATTATTGTATTGCTGAGATAAAATTTATGAAGAATATACATACTAAGTATCAATCAAGAGAATATAATCAGGGACACTAGACAAATGTTTCAAAATGTTTGAAGACAAATCTGCTAATTAGTAACTTCAACAGATCCAGAATTCCCTTCATATAGTTGGCAGTAAGTCTCACTTTCTGCTACCTCTTATGGAGATAGCTGAAGACCCACTCACCTGCTATTGGCTGGGGGTGCAAGGGTACCATTTGGTTCAGTTGATGTCTCTGCTGGTTTGGGTTTGAAGTAATTGACTAGCCCCCCAAACACACTCTTAATGCTGTTAATATGCTTCTGGCTGGTCTTCAAATCTTGATCCATCTTATCCACCATCTTCTCGGTGCGTTCTAAGACTCCTCGCTGACGGACAAGCTCCTGAGGAGAATGAGGGGCAACGGCATTATATCTGTTTGTAGTCCTGTCCCAGCTGTACCTCACATAGTAAGGAAGAACCACATGTTGCAGGCCTTTCATAAATACTCAGTGAGTACACAGAGTGTCATCTGTAGGGAGTATGTTTACTTTCAGACAAGATACCCCTGTAAAAACAGTGGCCCTGTCACAAGGTCTTTACATGTGCTATGCTTCTGCTTGCTTCTTTTTATTTGTCCCTGTGTCCTAGTCTACCTTGCCCATCAAGGTTGGCTCATAGGAGCACATTAAGATGGATGAAATGTGCCCATGGAGCAGAGTGTAGGGTCTGAATTGACATGGACCACCCCAGATATGCATCTTCAATGGGGCCACCTGACTGGTCATATCTTCAAACTATTTCACAGCTCAAGTTCTGGGGTCCCTTCTGGGCTCTGTTAATGTATGATTCCAGCCCATGAGTGTCAACTTAAAAACCTGTAAAAACAGTGGCCCTGTCACAAGGTCTTTACATGTGCTACTTTTTATTATGCTCACTTGAGTTCCCACATTGTGGTCACATCCTCAGAAGCCTTTCCTACACAGCATCTCTAAAAGCAGAACTCTTTCCACCCTCAAGTGGCCCTCTCCACTTCCTTCCTGTTTAGTTTTCTTTATAGCACACATACTCACATGAAGCTTGAGGTGCCTCACCCAGAGAAGCTGCTCCTGTACATAACCCTCTGCCACAGGGACAGTCTGAACTGATGCTCTGGCTGTGGATGTGAACTCAACACTAGCAGCATACTACCACCTTCTTTTATTGATTTTCCTTTCAAATTTATGCACTATTATCTTCAAAAGTTTGGATCAAACTTTTATTTCCTTTGTGCCCTTCAAGTCTGAAGACTCTTAAAGCATATCTTCTCTGATTCAACCACCCTGCCCTCAACCACCTTCCTCTCAATCTTCAACCCTGTATCTGTCATTGAGGAATTATTTTACTCAAAATAAATATTCTTCAGAGATATTTTCTCCATACCTAAAATCAATGTCATGAAAAATTTTAAACAAACAACCTGGAAATTTGGAGGACAGAAATGAAAACTATTTACAGTTAAGTCTGCCAGAGTTTACTTTAGATATAAAGGTGTTAGTAGAAGACTATAGGGCATTTAGGGACCTGATGTGTGACTTGAGTTCTTAATGTTTAGTGGACAAAATTTAAAAGTATAATATATAGGCAAGAAGCTAAGACATTGGTTTATTTTACTATAAGGTTTTAGTTTTCTCTTTCTGGAAATAAATTTGGAACTGATGACCTTTAGAATTTTAACATTTAAATGTTTTCACAAGCTCATTTGATGTAGCTAAGAAACCATTAGGCTTTTTTGAGTAAAAAGAAAAATGCTTTTTAGACAGTGTCCTTTGAAATGTCAAGCAAATCCTGCAAGGGCTAATTTTTGTAAGAAAAAAAGAGTTGCTAATTTATCCTAAGTTTCTACTTCGAACACCTCAAGTTTAACATCCCTATGTCTAAGCTGAGATATGTCTTTTCTGGAACAAAATAGAGGTATGAATTTAGATTGAAATGATTTTCTTCAGTCCTACTTTTTTGTTGATACATTTCTAATAGTCCAGCACCAAACAGCTTATTCCAGAGGTTACAGAAGACAGAAGAATCTGTTACTAAGGTACTGAGGACAGCAGGGGTGGAAGTGGTGGCCCGGCCTGAGTTGCCTCACTAGGAGGTAGGTCTTCAGCTTTCTTGACAGCGAGCTTTCCCATTTAGGCTCATCACAGGATCCACTCACCCTCTTCCTTCCAGCTAGATTCTGAGAGTCATAGCAGTAACAAACAGCTAAAAAACATCCCCAATTCACAGTGAGATCTTATTTTCTTATGTTCCCAAGTGACACAAACTCTTAGAACTTCCTCACTGTGATCATTTGGTAAGGAATTTGAATATCTGATCTAGATTTTATGAAAGAAGCCCAGAGAAACATGTGAGGGTAGCTTGTCCTGCATGCGAGGCAGGAATGGAAGCAGAAGACATTGTTATTCTGGTCACTGTTATCATCGGAAGTTCCTGTGTGCTCGGAGCTGGTGCTTACCAGAGTGATCTGCTGGTCAGGAAGCCAGCAAAGGAGGAAGAGTTTTGTCTGCTAAAATCTTCTCCCAAAGGCCGAGGAAAGCACCGGGCTCTGCACTCCTGTTCTAACCAATGGGGAAGAAGGGTCCAAACAAGCAAATGCCAGGGCACCAGGAAAGCCAGGTAGGCCCTGTACCCCTGCCATAATGAAGGCAGACCTCAAAGTCTCAAGGCATACTGTAGTCTCCACGAAAGGGGTATACATCCAAAAAGTGCCTTCATTGTAGAGGGCAAACAAAATGGTCATACAGCTGATTCACCTCACTGTCTTGAGCCCCAAAGGGAGTGTTCTAAAGATAAACTGGAAAAAGAAGAGAGTGGGAGAAAAATTTGTTTGGGCCAAAGTACAATATTAATGATTAACACAAGAGAGGGAGAGCCTCAATTCTTCTTTGACTTTTGGGGCTTTTTATCAGGTAAAGGAATTATTTATGACAGAGCAAAAGAAAGCAGAAAACAAGAGAGATAAAGACCCTGTGGGGGAAACACTGCCCTATGTGAGGTGATACTGGCCATGCAGACTAGGTTTCGAGCGTCCTGTGAGGAACCACAGGAGCACAGAATCACTGCTGGCGGAATGCTTCTTGAAAACACAGGCAGTAGGCCCTCCCTGGTGGTGCAATAGTTTAAAGTGCAGCACTACAAGGAAGTTGCAGCTGCTTCAGTAAGAGTTTGATTCCCAATCCCGGAGGTGACCCACATGGCGCGGCAGACCTCTCCTGACCCTCCCGCTGCTCCCTTTAGCAATGTACTTCATCAGTCTGCTTGTTCTGATCCATACTCTGTCTCTGGTAAATCCTTTCACCACCCCTGCACCTCTGGCCTGCACTCCAGTTCTGTATGAATAAATAAATAAACCTTAAAAAAAAAAAGCACAGGCAGTGTCATAGAGGTAGTGGAGGGTATCTGCCAACAGATGTTACTGAGTACTAATTCTCTGCTTTGCACCATTTCATGGGTGAGGGATTTAGAGATAAACTAAAGAACTCCAAATCTCTGCTCTGATGGAGCTTACAAACTAGCAGAGTGGGAAGAGTGAAGTTTAATCTGATTTTTAATTTGTTCACAGCACCACAGGCTGTGATCCCAAGGGAAGGACAAGGGGCTGTACTAAGTTACATTAATACGAGGCTCACAGAAAAGCTGCCACTGTACACATATGTGATAGATACGGCCCAGGTCAGTGCCCCTCGCAGAGGCTCCTTTCTTGGCTTATGGGGTATGGTCAGAGAAGCTCCCTGACAGGGTGAGAAACTGAAAGCTGAGAAGTTAGGAAGTCTTAGGGTCAGGGTGGGGTAAGAACGTTCGAGTTGAGGGAGCAGCATGTGCAGGGCCTGGGTGTCTTGGCATGGCCAGCTGGGGGAAGTGAGAAAGGAAGAGGAACTATGTGTGGTTAAGAGTAGAAGGGGAGCAGATGCGGAGACCTGGCTGCGCTCAACAAAAATCATCAAGGCTTGTGGTGCTAAAGGACAGTAGGCATCACCTGATCTCAAACCTCAAAAGTCCATCATCTCATAATGCCAGCGAGGTCTGCCTTGACCAAATCACATCCAAGTTCCTGAGTGAAAGTGTTAAGTAAGTTTCTTGTATTAAGCTGTTAATTAAACCCAGAAGTTGAATTAATAGGCAGAGGTCAATGTGGAATCAATTAACTGAATCTAGACACTTGACATTTCCCTCTGCTATGCTGCTCCCCTTCCAACATAAGGTGCATGCGCTACCAAGGATGTCAACGTGGGAGTGGACTCAAACCCAGGGCTCACGCGCAGTGGCCATAGCCAAGCATGGCGAGCACTCAAACTAACTAAAAACACAAACTGAGTCTCAGGTGTGTAAAAAACCACCAAGGTCAGAGGCTGTAATGCTGGCTGGCTCCTCTCACTGCTTGTGAGCAGGCCCACAGTAGGTTTGGATTCCTACTCCTTGGATCACCCTGATAGAGGTGTTTCTCTACTGAAAGCTGTAGGGCAGGCCAGACAGTTTATGATCAGGGCCTTAGGCTTTAGGGTATCAGCCTGATCTCTGGAGGGGTTGGAGACTATGGTCCATTAGGGGTCAGGTAGTCAGCCACACAAAAAAATCTCTATACTCCTGGATTCCTAAGTATGGCTGAGCTTCTTGGTTGGCAATACTTTCTGTGTGATGGTTATTGCTGGGAGAAATATGTGTTGTCTACACAACTGGAAAACTGGGAGCTCTCTCCTGGACTCTGCACTATAAGCCTTTTTCTTTTGATGATTTATCTGAGTCCTTCACTATAATAAAATACAACTGGCCCTTCCTGGTAGTACAACGGGTTAAAGTACAGCACTATGAAGCTATCAGCAGCCATTGTAGCATGAGTTCGATCCCTGGCCAGGGAGGTGACCCACATGACGTGGCAGACCTCTCCTGTCTCACACGCTGCTCCTCTCAGCAGTGTATCTTAGTCAATCCACCAGTTCTGCTCTGCACTGTCTCTGGTGAATCCTCTCATCCTCTGCACCTCTGGCCTGTACCCCAGTTTTGTATGTATAAATAAATAAATCTTTAAAAAAACAAAAACAAAAAAACACAACTAATGAATCTTAGAGAAATCACTGAACTTGACTGTGACTTTGGGAACAACAGCATCCCCCACTTTCACAATCACCTCACAGGCAGAAGGCTAGAGAGGAGAGTTCTGTCAGCATCTTATAGTACTTTACCTGATTAGCAAAGTAAGGTCCCTTAAGACAACATGGTGGTTGTCAGTGGACATTATGGCAGATGCCATAATTCTGGTGAAGGATGACTTAGTGGTAACAACTCATCCTTACAAGGTGCCTTGTTATAACTCTGTAGTGGCAAGTTTGCCTGGGATTCCAAAACTTTGTTTATTAAAAGATTTTAT